AATCCGCACTTTTCCTTTGTTTTTAACTTCTAGTTGATATACACGCCGATTCATTTGAACTCTCTAAAGGCTGTGAAGGCTTTTGCAGCAGAGTTCATGAATAAAACGCAACGATTGGACTTCCTTATCAACAATGCAGTTATGAGTCATGGCCCTTTTAGTGTTACATCAGACCAGTATGAATCCACAATGGCCATTGGTCACCTGTCTCATTATCTCCTCACTAGGGAACTGCTTCCAGTACTGAAGAGGACACAACCGGGTTCTCGAATTGCAATCATCACTTCTGCTGAGCACTATTCCGGTTCTGTAAGCTAAATGTCTTCCCGCCCCACCCCACCCCACCTCACTCTACTCATACTTTGATAATCAACCCAATGTTACAATTTGTTTCAGTTTGACAAACATGGTTTCTTTATCGACTACAAAGGCTTCAACTCTATCAAAGCATTCGCTCAGGTGAAACTAGCCAATGTTGTTCATGCTGCCATATTATCACAACAGTTGAAGGGGACGTCTGTTGTACCTTTCAGTGTGAATCCGGGATATGTTCTACCAGATTTTGGCGTAAGTTCTTATTTTGTAAAAGGTGGGATATAACAACGTGCTTTGGAAAAATTGTTTATACTATGCCCAGGAGTAATTGAAAATTGGCATTAATTATAATATGTATTCACAGAACGATAATTTACCAAACATGGTATGATACGGGTTTAGGGGAATGAACAGACAAGAGCAAATTAATGAACAACACTTTAGTTAGAGGAAAAATAAAAAACAAGCAATTGTTTATTTACTTGGCAGATGTTTTCAACCCTTGCAGTATTTGGGATAATCAATCCCAAGTGCAAGATAAATAGAAAATTATTTGAAATGTGGGGGAAGGATCAAGAGGGGAATCAGTGATCTGCATGGATCAGTGATTTAAAGTAGTGGCAATGCTTTTATAGGTGTCGTGGTAAAACAGAATATTATAAGACAGTAAGATCTAACTTCTTAAGTTCGGTTCACAGAAGAGCTAAGCAAACCAGCTGAGAGCGTCTGTCAGTTCTATAGGGGTTTGAACATACTTCAAGAACTTCAACTTTTCAAGTCATAGGAGACAAAAAAACTCCCCAAATTTTTGGACATAATTAGGGGATAAGGAAGTTTGAGTAGGAGACAACTTATTATTATTTTTTCTCAATACAATTCTCTACGTATTTATCATTTTATACTAGAGCTTTTTTCCTTATATTAAACGTTAGTTAATTATGAGTTTAAGCGCTATAAGTGGGTAATAAGACGACTGATTAAATCAATATAAATAAAACTATAATGTATCATGAATTTTCGCCACGTTGGAAAGAAGATGTCTCCGAACTGGCTTTATTTGACCGAAATGGAAAATATGCGACCATTTTCCTTTCAACTCTAATATCTATCAGAAGTTTCATCGGAATAAACGCCTAACTCTTGTCACTAACAATTGATTTATCTAGTTAAAACCTATTTGACAGAATCTAGAAAGCTTTTATTTATTTCAAATGGCAGGCGTTATGATAGCTATCATTAGCCATTTAGCTGACTTCGGGCTTCACAGAAGGAAGATTCATCAAAGCAGCAGAAAGTCGAGGGGTGGGGATCAGAAGAGCGATTCACAGATGTAAAAGAGGCAGACAGACACAAAGGTGGAGAATAAGGTAAGATGCGTGCTGTGAAAGGGGTCGAATGTGACAAGCCGTCAGGCCATAGTAGTTAGAAATCAGAAGTCAACTGCCGGTTAATAGACTTCGAATATGACATAGAGAAGTCAACTGCCAGTTAATAGATCATGGTAATTGAAGTCAGAAGTCAACTGCCGATTAATAGACTTGGGGTCATGATAGTTTGAACTCAGAAGTCAACTGCCAGTTAATAGACTTACTCATGGTAGTTTGAAGTCAACTGCCAGGTAATAGACTTTAGTTTGAAGTGAGAAGTCAACTGCCGATTGATAGACTTTTATTTGAAGTCAGAAGTCAACTGCCAGTTAATAGACCTTTTCAGTCAGAAGTCAACTGCCGGTTTATAGACTTTTTTGCCGTTTGAGTAGTCAGAAGTCAACTGCCGGTTAATAGACTTTTTTGTGAAGTGAGAAGTCAACTGCCAGTTAATAGACCTTTTTGCGTTGAAGTCAGAAGTCAACTGCCGGTTAATAGAATTTTTTTGCCGATAGTTTGAAGTCAACTGCCGGTTTATAGACTTCGAATATGACATAGAGAAGTCAACTGCCAGTTAATAGATCATGGTAATTGAAGTCAGAAGTCAACTGCCGATTAATAGACTTGGGGTCATGATAGTTTGAACTCAGAAGTCAACTGCCAGTTAATAGACTTACTCATGGTAGTTTGAAGTCAACTGCCAGGTAATAGACTTTAGTTTGAAGTGAGAAGTCAACTGCCGATTGATAGACTTTTATTTGAAGTCAGAAGTCAACTGCCAGTTAATAGACCCCGTATGAGTATACGTTGCCCAGGATGCACCACGTGGAGGCAAGTCTATCGCACACCCCGAATCTAGAAAGCTAAATTGCTAGATTATTCTGTGACATTCACCGAAAGCAATTGAACCTCGTTGTCAAAAGTTTGATTAAAACTTTCAATATATTGAACGTACTTTTTTTCAGCTATTTATTCCTTCCCTATTCGGCATGTTCTTCAAGACTCCCTGGGAGGCTGGTCAGGCGGTTCTTTACACCCTACTGGATCCTAATATCGAGTCCGGTGGATACTACTCAAATTGCATGCCAACAGAGCCATCCGCGGAAGCACAAAACAAAAAGACAATTGAATTTGTTAGGAAAGAAAGTGATCGGCTGGTAAAAGTTGGGAAGTAATATCCTCGAAACTCTGCCACCACCAACATCTACATCCATCGCACTTTGTAGAAAAACTGCGAAACACTGAACTTACTTATTAAGAAACACAGAATTTGTCTCAAATATCGTTTTTTTACATTTTTAGCCAAAGAAGGCCTATTTTTGAGGAAGTATTCAATTACAAAGGGATAAAAATTCCCTTTCGTTTGCCAATCACAGTTGATTTGAGACAAAAATAGCATTTTGAGACATAAGAATAATTATTTTTAATGCAATGGCCGAAAATAGGAAAAAAATGGGTGTTTGAGCAAGCATTAGACAAAATATTGCGTGTCCATTTGATGAGAACGCAGATATTTACTAAGTGATATTAATAGAATATGAAATTAAACAAAAATTTCTGCACAGCAAACATCCAGAAAATCGAATTTATAAGAAATTTAACCGAACGCACTTTCATGAATACTTGATATTTGGTGGTGGATGGGATCTCTTCGAATACCTTCCGGCAGACGTCGTCAAAGGCTTGGCTATGCTTACATTCGGGAGAGTTTCAATAACTGCTTATTTTTTAATCAAAATACTAGTAAGACTAGTATTTAAAACAATTTGTGGATAAAAGCTGGCCTTGGTTTATGATAAAGCATGCAGTTATAAAGCCTTTCAACATATTTGAACGAAATAGACTAAACAGAAAAATACTGGTATTCAATGATAATCTGCAATTCTACTGAATTCATGCTCTTGTGTGGAAATGGTAACTGGAAGGACTGATCGTTGTCATCACTATATTAATGATACTAAAATACAATTAGACGGACTCAATCGCCGAGAGGATGCTTTACCGTGGCTTTAATGTTCTAATTTGAGCGCAAATAGAAAGGTGGGGGGTGGTGAGCAACCATGACACCAATTGACATTTTCAGAGTTTCGGGTGCTTTTCCAGGGCCAACTGAGAGGCAAATCTAGCCAGATTGCGTTCTTAACTTTCGACATATTAACATGTACATGAGCTCTGAACAAAACAATTGAGTATCAAGCTGCCAAATCTAAATAAAATTCAAAATTTGAAACATGAGTGTAGCGTATTGTGAACCACAAGCCAAACCCATAGAGAACGAGTTTGCTCTAGGTTGCATAAATTAACATTGCGTAAAATGCTTTTGATTAGATGGAGAAATTAGACACACGCGAGGAGAGAACAGGTCCTTCATACCCAAGTTCGTCTGTCTAGAAGAGAGTGCATAATGTGATTCAATACTGAGTGGTCGAGAACTACAACTACGGTAGGGTATTCTAATTAAAACTCGGTCAACTTTTTAACCTGAAAGTAGGAATACTTTGCTTCACCAACGTAAGACTTCGTTCTATTTAAACAATACACTCTCTTATTCTGGGATCCTTTACTTTTTTTCCCATATTTATCTTCCTAACAAGTAAAATAGAAACTCCTTCGAGTTTCTAAAACCATTGGTACAACCAGAAGTAGCACATTTTCCAATTCATATCTTGTAGAGATAAAGGACATTCTGGGATAAATTTCAGGCAAAATTTTTCTCTCTAATCCACTAATAATTAACACTTTAATCTTTCCTTGCTCATAGATGAATTTTGGTCATGGTTCTTGTGGGTTGGCATTGAGCCAATGGCAGTGAATAGTTGGTTGTAGTTAAAAGTGTTGAAGGTCATATTTATTTCCCATATATATAATAGAGAGAGAGGAAGAGAGAGAGAGGGGGGGGGGGAGGAAGAGGGAGAGAGAGAGAGAGGAAGAGAGAGAGAGTAAACAAAACTGGTGTTTAAAATCAGTGCCTCAGGAGAGAAATGGAGAAAAGATTTGCTCTTTATTTTGGCGCTCCTTCTCTCACTCTCTCTCACGAACAGGAAGCGTGAGGGAACTAATGGGTGTTTAGAATATCAAAAAATAATGCACTACCTCCATAGGAAACTTTAGTTTGGGCACCATTTTTCATTGA